TTTCAGTTTAAAGTAACTAATTTTCAGCACTTTATCGAGGTAAGGGAATTTGGCCCAGAAAAGCAGTTCGAGCTGAAAGATGCCGATGTTAGTGAGGTACAAACAGATCCCATCGGAAGAAAAAAGCGGAAGAAAAGGGAAGTTGATTCGAATAAGGGTAATGATAATGAAGAGGAAAACGATGAAAACGAAGATGATTCCCCTGAGGAAGACGAAGATGATTCCTCAGAGGAAGACGAAGATGCTTCCTCTGATGACGAAGAAGATGCTTATGATGATGATGTTCAAAAAATATTTTTCACATGTGGGGATGGCGTTACATATGGAGATGTTCGAGGCTTCTTCTGCTGCTGCAATTATGACTGGTGCAATAAGGCTGTGAAACGTATGTGCTTTAGCTTTCGTTAGAAAAAGAGCTCAGTTAGCACCTATTAGATTAGCCAGTATTTCCCTCAGAGGAAAGGCATTTTGAATTTTCCAGTAGGGATTGAGCAGTCACTGACAAAGCATACTGCAGAAATTAATTAATCTTCACTGCAGTAACAAATTATTAGTGGAACTAATCATATGCTACTATCGTTGCTTCTCTTCATCAGTGCAGTTCGTTAATCCTCTCTATCGCTTATTGCTGAAGCTAAGACTGTCCATAGGCTCAACGAGCTGATTCCCGAATTTGGTATCGAATCGGGTGCTACACTCATTTTTAACTCCTTTGATGAAGAGTCCAATTTTCTTTGCAAGATACCAAAATTACTTAGCAGTTTCTGCACTTTTTATGGATTTTCTGCATTGGGTATATTGTCTTCTGCTAAAATACTTATCTGGAGTTTTCGTCGTTGATAGTAAATGCCGGTGTGTATAATTTTGGTGGATCGACTAAATCTTAGTGACGGATTTGATAGCGAACAATAGTCTATAGTGGTATGAAATCCACAGTATGGATTGCGAAGTAGATGAACGTGCTAAATGCTAGCTAATACAGCAAGTTACGATCGAACGTCTGATGACAGCGACTGTGAGGAAAACGGATGATCGGTGCAGAAGACTGATTGTTCATCGAACACGAGTAATTCACTTTTATGCACCTGTTTTCCTGCACGACACTTCCTTAACCGCAACCCATATGAGTGTCAAA